GTTAAAATAACATATCTTTTTACTAGAACCAAGTTCTGACGTTATGTCATTAAACATGTGTCATAAATATTATAATATGTGACATTACCACATTCGTAGTATTTCAAAGATCATAATGTCTCTCTATCTCTCTACATATATATATATAATATATATATATATATATATATATATATATATGGTTCGGTTCCTGTGAGGACTTGTTAGGACACCTTAAAAAAATTGAAAAAAAATCTAAAAAGAATACAAATAATAAAATCGAGCAGAATACTATATTCGGGAGAAAAAAATTTGCATCATTAAAATTGAATAATGGATCATAAAAATGATCAATGCTTCAATTTTAACGTTTCAGTTTTTTTTTTCTAGTTTTTTTCTCTCTGATGTAGTACTATGCTTGATTTTATGATTTGTATTTTTTTTAGATTTTTTTTTCAATTTTTGTAAGGTGTCCTCACGAGTCCTCACCCGATCCCATTTTGATATATATATATATATATATATATATATATATATATATATATATATATATATATATATATATAAGTTTAATAGAAAAAAAAAGGTTAAGAATGAGGGAATCATTTGCAGTCACTCATTTATTTTTGCCGCAAAAGCATCCATCGTACTGACGAAAATGGGAAAGGAATACACTTATATTTTCCAACAAAACATGTTTCCTTAAACTATATTAATCATTACCTTAATAGGGGTAGGTTTCGATGAGGGGTCCTTTTAAAGTGAGAACTCGTAAGGGTACCTTAAATAAACTGAAAAAAATATAACAAATAAAAATTATAAAATCGAGCATAGTATTATATCCTGGAGAAAAAAAATTGGGAAATTTTTTTTTGCATCATTAAAATTGAATCACGGATTACAAAAACTATCCATGCTTCAATTTTAATGATGCAATTTTTTTTTCCAAATTTTTTTTCTTCCGGATACAATATTATGCTCGATTTTATGATTTTTATATTTTTTTTTCAACTTTTTTAAGGTGTCATCACGAATCATCACTTTAAAAAAGAGTCATCACCCGATCTTTTCTCTACCTTAGTATATAGAAACACATAGTTTTTTTTCTTTTTTTAAATTTTTAATGAGTTATTTTTATCGAAAAATGATTTTAAATATATATATATCAAAATTCATAATTTTTTATTCTGTATAAATAGACATTCATATGTATATAGTTTAAGATATATTTGTTTTTTATAGTTTTAGATATTGTTATTCATAAGTGAATAAGAACACATCAGATTTTTACTACAGTATATATTTGTTATTCACTTATGAATAAAAGAATATGATTATTTTTTTTTTACGGTTTGAATATTATTTATATATGAACATGAACATAACATATACTAAACTTTTTACAATTTACATCAACTCTCGTCACATGTTATATTTACATATGAATAAAACATGTACTAGCTTTCCTTACAAGTTATATTCATATATAATGAAGACAATTATCATAAATTTGTTACTGTTTATTTGTTATTCATATATGAATAAGTAGATCAAAATTTTAAAACAGTTCGTCTTTTATTAACATACTACTTATTCATATATGAATAACAAATTAACTATAGCAAAAATATGATAAATGTTTAATTCATATATGAATATAACATATGAAAACAACTGATATATGTTTTATTCATATATAAATATAATATATCACGAACGATGATGTAAAAATATATTTGAAGTAAGAAAACTTTATTACATGTTATATTCATATATGAACGATACTTAAACTATAAAAAAAAGTTAAACAGACCTTTTATTCATAAGTGAATAATGAATGTACTGTAATAAAAATCTGATTGATTTTTATTCACTAATTAATAACGAGAGCTAAAACTCAAAAGAAATTAATTTTTTATTTTAACTTAAAACTATATTAATATGGATGTCTATTTATAGAAAAAAAAATTATAAATTTTGATATATTTAAAAAAATCAATAAAAATAGTTTTCTAAAAATAAAAACACAAAAAAAGTATGTTTTTGTGTATACTAAGGTAATGATTAGCATATTTTAAGAAACCATGTTTGGCTGGAAAACACATGTATATCCGTTACCCATTTTAGTCAGTATGCCTAAGTGTTTTGCGGCAAAATAAATGTGTGGCTGAAAATGATTCCCTCATTTTCAACATTTTTTTCTCAATAGAACTCTTATATATATATATATATATATATATATATATATATATATATATATATATATATATATATATAAGTTGAAAATATTTTGACTTAAGATTTATACATGCACATGTATACACTACTATGAGATTTACCACTTATTTAAGCAAGTATCATAAACTCTTATATATTTACTTATCAAACATACTTGACTTTTATAAAACTTATGCAATGTAAATCAATTTTCCTAGTGAGTTATCCATGTATAAGTTAGGGCTATTCAATCTCGATTATTATCCACATATAAGATAGGGTAGGTTATTCATATACATTAGTTAGTGGCTTTTATAGTGAGACATTATTCATAACATAAGTATAAGCACTTAGTATACCCACACCAGTATAACCATCAATCCTCTGAGCAAGATACTTACGTATAGATCTATAAGGGTTGACACCCCCACCTGCGATTGCTAGTTACAACCTCGACGGATCAATCAAAGCCGGTGATAAATATCTTAGTCGATTCCACAATGTCTATTCAAGCGTTGTAAGGGGTCCTTCAGTCACATAGTTTGATTATAGGACTCACTATAAGGATTAATTCTCTCTCTCTCTCTCTCTCTCTCTCTCTCTCTCTCTCTCGCTCTCTCTCTCTCTATATATATATATATATATATATATATATATATATATATATATATATATATATATATATATATATATATATATATCTTTCCAGAAACCAAGGATTATGTTTCTCTCTTTACAAAATCGTTATAAGTACGATTTTAATTATGAAAAAAATGTTATGGTTTTCAAAGTTTCTTTAAAGTCTCTTTACCAAATCATTTTTAAGTATGGTTTACTTAGAGAGAAAATACTTTTTGATCGTTTTAAAAGTATCACTACCACTCTAACAGAAAACCCGTAACTCTTACCAAGCATGTGTCGACCCTTAAACTACGTGTATTCTCAAGAGATCACTAGCAGGCATTTTAACCGAGGGAATAGTCATGGTTTTCAGGTTGATTTTCTAGTTTTTGTTATATCTTCCTAACTATTAAGGCTATTCATGTACATTATTGTGATCTGTAAGAACCTTGTATTGAATCTTCAAGATGAAATACAAATACTATTTTGTTATTGTTGTACTGGTACTATATATCTAATTGTTTGTGATCCATAAAATAGGATGCATAGCCTGACAAGTTCCACCGCCTTAACTGGGGGTGTGACATTTCATTTCCTCGACTACTTTAAGTCATAAAACCAAACCACCAGAACCTGAAGAAGAATCAAAATGAAGATGAAGTTGAACTTCAAATCTTAAAATGAGATTTCGTCACTATTTTCTACTACCCCAACCAAAACGAGCGGTACCAATTTTGTCAAAACTGTAATGGCTAAATCCTACTTTTAATATCATTTTAAAGAGAAAGAAACTGATTCATTTGGAGTATTTTTCTTATCCATCAGATATGGATGTGAATGGGAAAATATCTAATGCAGGATAGATATATGGCAAAATCAATTTTAGGATTGTTATAATCTATGATACCTGATGCTTTGCATTCACCAAGAAATGCCCTAGGGAAAATGTAGAATGGAGGACCGGTGAGTAAATCAGGTTGAAGGGATTGGACTATGTTCTTCCAAATCTGGTGGGAGAGGTAAAGTGGAAGTGGAGTATTGAGAAAGCAAAAAGTGAGAAATACTTAACACATAGAAATAGTGATATGCTAGAAAAACTATGAGAAGCAGGTGTCCTGTTTGGTGGAGAAAATAATGAAATAAAAGCATTAAAGTATAAAATCAAAAAAAATTATATAAAACATATAGTCTATATGAAACATAAAAATGACTAAATCAGATAAAAATAAACAAATCTTCTGATAAAAAAGGGAACTAAAGAAATGAAAAAAATGATCCCTATTTCTATGTTATCCACCTTTAAAAGGAATAAACATAGTGATCATTTGATTCTTCATCGCCGTAGTAAACATGAGAGAAAATAAATTTTCTTTCTTCGTCTTTACAATACAAAAAAAGAAAAAATAATAATAATTAGAGGAAGCTGTGACACGTGTACTAAAAATTTTATGAATGTATGAATGTATTTTTTTTTAAATAGGCAAAAGATATAAGATGGAGATAATTAGGCAAAAGTTAAAATTGATGAATAAAAATTTTAAATATAAGATGGAGATAATTAGTACACGTGTGCAGTTTCATCAAATATATGAATGTATTTTTTTTTAAATATATTTTCATTGTTATAAGTTTCATCAAATAATAAATAGTACAAATAAAAATATTTAAAGTTAAAATTGATGAATAAAAATTTTAAAAATAAAAAATGGACACTAATTATAAGATGGAGAGACTATGATTTTGATGTTACAACCACACCCATCCTTTTTTACTATTATTAGACTAGGTTATAACCTTGGAAACCATGGTCTTTATATTTAAAAATTTTGTATAGATAAAAAAAATTTAAATATAAAAAAACCAAGATATTGTCGATTGTAAGTAATTATAAATTAATTTATTAAGCAAAATAAACATAATAATGTTATTAGGTTATCATTTTTTATTATTATAATTTGAATTTAATTGGATTTGTTACCAAAAAATAGAAATAATAAAAAGCATAGAAAATTGACACGTGACACATGTCATTTTTAGGTTTCATTTATTAGAAAAAAATGTAGATTAAGACGGGATCTACCATTATAACTATTTACTAAGCAAAATTAATGTAAACCTTCAAATTCAATAAAAAATTTCAAATGTATCATTTTCTTATTACAAAGAAGTATCTTAATCTAAGGATGGAGAAGGTGAAGATTAGAAGTACGAAAGGGCAAGCGAAAGTTTTAGGGACACTTATTTGCATGGTGGGAACACTTACAATCACCTTTTGGAGAGAAGGGTTTCAATTGAATGGGTTATTTAACAAGCCACTAATCGACATTTATAACCCTAAAGCTTCTCACGTTCATAAAGAAAACTGGGTCAAAGGGGCAACCCTTATTTCAGCAAGCAAGATTTGTTGGAGCCTGTGGCTCATTTTCCAGGTAAAGTAAGATAATAGAATAAATGCAAATTTTTTGAAATATATTGTCGTTGAGTTATTTATTATATTTTTATATTTTCATTTTTCTCTATTAAAACTTCACTTGAAAATTAAAACACTTTCAAAGGAGTTCCCTTAGGTTGAATGTTTGGAATGCTAACATGTTTCATTCTAAAAAAAAGACATAATAACTTAATACGAATAATATTGAATTTACAATGTTAGAACTTAGAAAATATGCAAATTGAGTGCATGTTGTACACGTTTTTAACATACCAATGATATTATTTTTTGTTTTAGCTCATAAATATGATGTATCGACTCTGACTTATGGCAATCATTTTGTAGGGATTAATACATAAGATGTATCCAGCTCCGTTGTCAATGAACATTATGATATGTCTCTTTGCATCATTGCAATCTTCTTTCCTTTCTCTCTTTTTTGCAAGAGATGCAAATCTATGGAAGCTCGAGTGGGATGTAAAACTCTTTACCATCCTTTACGGGGTGAGTTGGTTACGATTTTAATGTCTATTAGAAATTACAGATATAATTACTGAATTCACAAAAATACTTGTTTAGAGATACTAACCAAACCATGTTGTTATATAATGATTAGGGTTTCATGGTCTCAGGACTAACATACTACCTAGTCTTATGGTCCATCAATAAGAAGGGGCCGGTGTTTGCCGCGATGTTTACTCCATTACAACTTATTATTGTTGGAATATTTTCAGCCATCGCTTTTAATGAGAGACTTCATGTGGGAAGGTCACATCTTTTTTTCCAAAACCAATAGTGACTTCTACCCCCAAATCAAAAATAACTTTATTAATCTATACTTTGGTTTTCCAATGATCCAGCTTGATAGGAGCATTGATTATTATCCTCGGACTCTATTGCGTACTTTGGGGAAAGAGTAAAGACAACATTTTCATATTAGATGAGGGCAAAAACGATGTTACGAAGGAGAATAAAGTTGCTTTGGATATAGATGTCAATGATTGTATGGTGAAGAATTCAAACAAAGTTGAATCATGATACTTTTAGATTTGATAAGTGTCTGAGATAACCAACTGATGAAATCTCGTGGTTTAACTAGCAATTAGTGAACATCTAAAGATAATGTACACATGATTAGGATTTTTTAAATATATCATTCTTCTGTTGGCTTAATCTTGATGTGTTAAGTGCATGGAGATGGATCGGGTTATGGGTCATGGATCATGGTCCTGGTTGATTTAGTCTCACGGGTTAATTACTAAATAAAGAAGAGTTAGTGGGTTTACTGATTCTTTGTTTTGACCGAGTATATATATATATATATATATATATATATATATATATATATATATATATATATATATATATATATATATATATATATATATATATATATATATATATATATATATATATATATATATATAGGGATGTTCCAACAATTGGTATCAGAGCAACCAGGTTCACACCTGGTTCTCAGCAAGAAAGAGAGGATGAAAGCAAGAAGTTCGGTGGTAGGAGGATCAATTGATCTATAGGAAGAAAGTATATAAGTAAGTAAGCAGTAAGCATGAAGAAAGGTTGCACAACAACAAATCAGAAAGAAAGAAAGAAAGAAAGAAAGAAAGAAAGAAGGAAGGAAAAAAAGAAGAAAGCAAGAAAGCAAGAAAGAAAGAAAGAATGAAGCAAGCAAGAAAGAAAGAAAGAATGAAGCAAGAAGAAAGATAGATAGAAAGAAAGAAAGAAAGAAAGAAGAAAGAATGAAAGCAAGCAACAAGTCCGATCATGTTTGTTAATCAGAAGAAAGATGCAGCAGCAAAATTTTGTTGTTTGTTAGCAGGTAAGAAGGAAGAAGCACGCAGTAAGTGATTAACAAGCAGGAGAGGGCCGGTTTGCAAGAAAGAAAAGCAAGATAACAAGAAAGAGGTTTGTAGGAAGTAGCAAACCAAAAAAAAAGTATATATCAAGGAGCAGCAAAATCACAGCAAGTAGTAGTCAACAAACATAAGAAAGAATGAAAGAAAGCAAGCAGCACGATGAAGCAAGCAGGAGGGTGAAGCAAGATGAAGTTCATCAAGTTTAAGGGGGTGAATGTTGGCTTAATCTTGATGGGTTAAGTGCATGGAGATGGATCGGGTTATGGGTCATAGATCATGGTCCTGGTTGATTTAGTCTCAAGGGTTAATTACTAAATAAAGAAGAGTTAGTGGGTTTACTAATTCTTTGTTTTGACTGAGTATTGATATATATATATATATATATATATATATATATATATATATATATATATATATATATGCATGGCAGGATTTATGGAGACAATAAAGGAGTACGTGGGCTAGGTAGTTTGTTATCACTTATTGTATTTAGCATGTAGTCTATATATATTGTATTCTATTGTTTTGAATAAAAAGATGCAAGAGGTTAGAAAGATGTATTCCTATGTATGTTTGGGTTTGTTCTCAGGGGATGTTCCAACATCTTCCCCTCTACTTTATTTGTTGGATATGATATTCATTTGTTTTTCTGGCTAGGTGTGACTATGGTGATAAATGTCGTTAAATTTAACTAAAGTTTGATTGGGATGTTATATATATATATATATATATATAATATATATATATATATATATATATATATTATATATATATATATATATATATATATATGTATGTATACTTATCATCATCTTAAATAAATAGGACGAAAAATCAGAATAAAAAATAAGATGATATTTAATTTCTCTTATGTTATATATGTATATATATTTATTGAAAAATAAAAAAAACATATAATAATAACGATAAATGTTTTTTTTTCTGATTCATCAAGGAAATTTGGAGATATTTAAATACTTAGGACCAGCAGCACTGGGTGTGACTGATTTTAACAAATCCACTTAATTATGTAAATATATTTTAACAAATCCACTGAATTATGTAATATATTGATCCAACGGCAACCTCAAGTTCGGGACTAATGTTTTGGTGGAAGAACCTATAACTTTTCGAAAGGCTTCCATAGGCTAGTTATGCTTGATTTTGTGCTTGATTAGTGACTAACCTGTAGCATCAATCAAAGAATGCAAACAGGGTGGGGGAAATATTATTTTAAAGTAGAACTAGAGAATAGACATTAGTGGTTACAGAGATAGTGCTGGAAGTGATTAAGAAATAGTGTCATCAGGATGATTTTACTGTTGTTAGGGTCAATAGAGATGGGACCTTGAAGCTGACGGGAGATTTATGGTTGCTTCCCTACCTGCACCAATTTGGCTCCGAACGACATCACTCTCTAAACTATTTTCTCCCCCATTTGAAAGCACATGATGGAATATGAAAAGCGTCTCTTTCTAATTGTTTATATTGGGAACTGAGGTTCCGACTTATCTTAGTAAAGTGATTTTTTTCTGAGACAAATGTATGCAATTTGCGGACTATATTTGTAGACCTTTACAGTAGAAGAGGTGGACCAAACGTCTGCGGTCTGAAAAAGATGTATGTTTTCTTTTTAACATCAGCAGGCTACTAAAATAACTGATTTTTTTTTTGAAACTTCAAATTGATTTTCTAATATTTATATGACTTTATTATAAATAATTAACGAAACTAGATGAACTTTTATGCATTATTGGATAGAAAAGTAAAAATAAAAATTATATGAATTAACATATATATATATATATATATATATATATATATATATATTATATATATATATATATATATATATATATATATATATAATAAAAACCAAAAAATTTGGTCGCAAAGTTATACCTAAAAATTATAATTAGGAATAAAAGATTTTGATACATAAATTGATGGAGATAAACTGTGATTTTTTCAGGTAAATCAATTAACAACGTACCATAAATATTTTCCCAACAAATTTATGATACTCTATTAATTAATGTTTTATAAAATTTGACTCAAAAAATATAAGAATATACTATCATTTTTTTTTTTCATATTTATATCAACAACTTCAACGACCATTATTGTAATAAATTTTTATTTATAACATTGTGAAAAATATCATGTTAGTTTCGTCGAACTTTTTTTTAAGTATTGTACCTTTTTTTTTTCAAATTGTTTGTCACTAATAAAGTTGGAATAAATATAACTGGAATAAAAATGAGAAAAAATTAAGATATAAGTGTTTTTTTTTAGGTTAGAAGATGCTTGAAGATGTTAGAAGACTCTAGATTACGTCTACGCCAAGAACGGCGCAGACAGAACAGGCCAAGAAGACCTACAAATAAAAAAACAAATAACATCTAAGTGATAGACCGCATTCCTTTTGTTTTTCCTAGTCTATTGTGCACCAACATAAACACAACCATCAACGATGGACAATTCTAATAACCATTAAAAAGCATCTCAAATGATTTGGTTAGAGGTTTTAATTTGCCAAGAACTTAGCTACACAATATATATCTATTGCAAATGGTCATTATGTATGTTGATTTGGGTATCGATACTAAACCTTAACTTCGATTCAATTTTCATTGCTAATTCCTCGCAAACTTCTCCTTTTAGATTGGATATTTTATCGATGATTCCTTGCAATTTCATTTTTTTTTCATTGAAGCCCCTGTCAAAACTTATGTTTATTTATTTTTTATTTTTTAGGGTAATTTCATTTATATTTTTATAATTTACATAATTAGGTCTACATATTCTTTTAAAATTTTAAATTACAAGTATATCCTTATAAAACCTATATATATTATATATATATATATATATATATATATATATATATATATATATATTATATATATATATATATAATTTTCTCTTTTTCTTAAGAGAAAATTCATCAAATGACCAAAATGAAGGGGATGTTTGTAACAAATGACCAAGAAAAACGCAATTTTTTTAAATGATCATGACTTTCACAGAGAGGGAGTCTGCGAAAGTCTTTACACTCTGAGGAAAGGGAAAATCGCTACGAGGAATCGAACACGTGGGGAAAAAGACAACAAAAATTGTTTTTACACAATTCCATAGAGAAGGGTTCTGCAGAAATGAGTACACCTTTGTGGAACACATGTACGCTTCTTAGGAAATCGTAGCTGAAAGTAATAATTTTTTTCTGACATTTCCTTAGAGGTGTACATGCATTCCGCAGAGCCCTCTCTTCGGAACTATGTAAAAGCATTTTTTGTCCTTTCCCTAGGTGCCAGATTCCTTAGAGCAATTTTCCCATTCCTCAGAGCGTATGGATTCCTGTAGAGCCCCTCTCTACGGAAGTCATGGTCATTTAATAAAGTTGTGTTTTTATGGTCATTTGCTATAAACACTCATCTTCTTTGTTCATTTGATGAATTTTTTTAAACCTATAACAAAAGTACTCTTAATTATATATTTTAAAATCCAAACTTTAAAAGTTATATAATTAATTTCAAAATCCTAAATTCAAAAAATTACACAGTACAAAATATAACATTATTATTTGAACAACTTACTGAAATCGTCCCCATGATTTGAAACCTTTGCGCGTCTGTTCACTGATTTGTTTGCACTCGAAAAGTCCCTAAAATTTTATTTAGTTGTGGTTTTGGTCTATGCAGATATAAAAAGAGTATTTTACCCACATTATCTTATTTACTTTTTAAAAGTTTTCAATAATTATTATTTTATTACAAATATTTGATGCGTGCCATTTTTAAACATCCAAACACTTTTAACTTTTCCAATTACCATCTTCCCTAATTCCCCATCTTCTCCATTTAAGAGAACAACCCCACCATTATCACCTTCTCCGACATAACATGTTCTTACCGAAAATTATCACTACCCCTCTTTTATATCCAAAACCTGCAACTTATATGTTTTCAATAATTAAAATAAAAAACAAACTACCGATCGATAATCAAATGTCATGAAATATCCCAAAAATTAAGACCATAAAATTTCAATTATTAAAATAATAAAACCATCATTTAGAACATGTTCATAAAATCATGATAAAATCAGAGTATGCCAATAAACATCCAATTATGTCAGAGTCATCTCGACCAAGTTATATTG